ACCTTGGGCTGACGCCGGCTGGCAAATCTTTACTAACCTGGACAACCTAGGAAGACAGCTGAGTTTCTCTCTGGAGAAACCCCAGTTTGGCTTAAAATCTGATCCCTTGAGCTAATTAGGGAAGACTTCACAGCCAGGGACCCGGCACGCCTGCCGGTGGTCTCAACCCGAGGCTGAGCCTCTAAGTGTGTTTTTAACTCCTGAGGGGAGATTTTATTTTGGAAGGAGGAACCGGATACGGCTTGAATTTTTCTGGCTTGGACTGAAACAGACAAAAGTTACCTGGAAAAACATCTGTTCGCCAATGATCGGTAAGCGAGCCGACATCAGTTCCCTGACTGATCGGAGGCGAGCCAGCTCCTACCCTGAGGGTGCCTTGAGAAGTCATCACCAGGTAAAGCTGATGTGTTCGGAGTGACGTGTCATGTGGAACCTGAGCTTATAGACGTGCAGTTCCGGTTGACCCACAGTTTGATAAAAGTAAAAGTCGTAGTAACATACTAATCTTACTTTCCTCCTTTCCTTGTTCTTAATTTGCCAAAACTTAAGCTAAAAGTGCCAGTAAAATTGTTTGGTTGTTAACATCAGAACTGACGTTTTACTGTTCTATTTAAGTAATCTGAGTTGATGCGAATTGAAATTTGGACGCGGGTTTTATTTCATTTAACTCTGACGCTTGTTATAGGAATAACCACAATCAAGTGTAACTTATGATCTGTTCAATTTGTGTACATAAATGATTGCATAGTCTTTTATGAATCAACTTCAACTCATCTGAACGTTCACTTATTGTATCACTTTTCACTTCGCACAGTCAATATATTAACAAGTAATGAGAAATACCTTGGTAAAAGTTTCCTCATAACCTTGTGTATGAGAGATGTGGGAAAAGCTTAATTCACYTTAAGCTCACTCCTACACCAAAATAAGCTTGCAAAAGCTTATAATAGTACTCATTAGGATGTTCATTTCGGCCTTGTTTTATGAGTTCGGCAGACGGATAGCCAGGGTGTCCCGTTTTGGGAGTGTACTCTCTTTCTAAGCTTTCACAAAGAAGTGTGTAGTTATTWTTTATTTCCTCTGGTTGGCGATCAATGAAACTGTTTACCTTTCTGCTTGATGTTAGCCTGAGAAGGTAACGTTTGTTCTCTATATTAGTAAAATGTAAGTGGTGCTGATAACGCCAAGGTCGCAGGTTTGTTCCCCGTACGGGCCACCAATATGTAGGAGTGAGCTTAAAGTGAATTAAGCTTTTCCCACATCTCTCATACACAAGGTTATGAGGAAACTTTTACCAAGGTATTTCTCATTACTTGTTAATATCTTGACTGTGCGAAGTGAAAAGTGACACAACAATTTTACTGGCACTTTTAGCTTAAGTTTTGGCAAATTAAGAACAAGGAAAGGAGGAAAGTAAGAT